TAGCCCACGGACTGCCCAAAGAACAAACTAATCTGTCTTGCAGGAAGTGCAACCAGGGTGCTCCTTAGAAACAAGAACCGTGAAACTTCATTTCACATACTTTGGGCATGTTGTCAGAAGAGACTTGCCCTTGGAAATAGGCATCATCTTGGGAAAGGCAAAGGGTCAGCAGAGGAAGATCAACAAGGTGGGTCACAATGAGCCATAGCTGACTTGATGGCATCTGACAACACAACAATTCAAAGAAAAGGAAACCCTACCTGGCCTTGCACCATTTTCATGCTCAATTGTAACGCTGTTGTATTATTTACTTTTTTTCCTTTCCTTGTTGTGTACCATTGAATCAGTTCAGACTCACACAGGAGACTGCCCCTCCATCTCCAGCAGAACACCTGGTGGATTCAAACCGGGCACCTTTGGGGATTGCAGTGCAGCTTCTTGCCGCTAGGCCACCAGAGCTCTGTATTATGTAAGATTTTTACCCTTTCTGAGATAGATCAATAGGCCTCCCCCCACCCCCAGGTTATCTTAATTCTAGAAGTTGGATTGATATCTGTTCCGCATCACATCAATATGCAAGCTTCCATCGACTGAGGGATCGTGGCACACAGACACACACACACACACACACACACACACACACACACACACACGGTGTGTTGACCAGAAATCAAACTCAGGTCTCCCACAAAAATGGTGAGAATTCTATGTACACTGGAAGAAAGAATATCTTTATTTCCCAGAGGTATGAAAAATGGTGCAGGATTCAAATCAAGAGATCCTGTTAAAATAGAAGTTCAAGTTTATAACACAGTTGGGAGACAAGAGAGAGCTGTTGAGGTTATTAACAATAGTATTCTAGGAATGAGTAAAATTGTACTCATCACCAACCATAAGGAACCATCAGGAACTTACCCTCATCTAGCAGCTAACATTATCCTGAAACTTAGAACAAGAGAGCAACAGCATTCTGATACCTGACTCAAGGATTGGCTGATGTAGCATCTTGGCTATTCTCTTTCCCTGATGATTCACACGGATCATGTTTTAAGTCTTTCAGTTTTAAAAAGTCCTTCTCAACCAAAACTGAAACTTAAAGATGTCATCCTGAAATATTTTTATTTTGCACCTGCAGAAACAGACATGCTGCTAAAATCAGCTATCTGTGCTATGCAGGCTGCCGCGTGTGGCAGCTGTGTGTGCCAGGGGTTAACGGCGTGGCAGTTGCACCATCCCAGCACCGCGCATTCCACAGAGCCTGTAGCCTGTCCACACATGTTTATAAAGCAGACACTGAGACACTGACCAAGCCTCCACAGGGCAGCTTGCTCTCAGAAACAGACACTGCTATGCTGCTCAAGGAACATGGTTAAAGAATGCCCTGAGATGCTCTTTCAGATGATGGGAAGACAGAAATGCCCCACATCCTAATCGCTTCTGAGCACGACTAGGTTCTGGAACGAACTGAACATTTTATTTTTACTAAAACCAGTTATTAGGCCTGACCACTTCCTTCCTTCTAGCCACTATTTTCAGCAGCAGAGACGCAGAGCCCTTGCACCTGTTTTTAGCGTGGTCATGGGTGTGCTTGTGTGCATGAGCTGCAGACTTTTACCGTCTGAACAGCAGTATAAGCAACGCGAGGTTCTCATACCCTTCGAGCTGGGCAGGAGTTTCTGCCCCTGGATCCACAGTTCACAGGTGTGCAATGAGCCTGTCTGGGAGGCGGCCCAGGTACTGGCTGCACAGAAAAGAGCTATTGTTCAAAAGGTAGTTACTCTGAACTTGCTACTTGTCTCCACCCCCCCCCCCACCCCGCAATGCCATCACAAAGGCCCCTCCTTGCACACAGAGGTCAGTCAGATGCCTCACCGGTCCCCAGCACCTCTTTTTAGCAACAACAACAGGTCTGTGGGTGCAGTCCACAGTATGTCCCATCTCTGTTTTCTTCCTCATGCCCATTGTGACCACATTAACTGCAGTTTTGTTTTCCTACATGACTAGGAAGCAACTCACAGATATAACACATAGCCTGTGTCACAAAGATTTTTAATATAATTGTTTTCCAGTCATATTCACACTAATTATCTTTAAAACTTAAATTTTTGGATTCCCACATTCTGATTGTTCTTCCACATGATCATTCTGTAAATTAAGCCACAAAAATGGGACAATCAGACTGAGGGTTTACTGCCGCTGCTGAAGGCGGCAGGGCTGTGAGGTGGGTGCCAAGTGAGGTCTGAGGGAAAGAAAAGAGGAAAGGAGACAGAAGCCGCCATTAAGTCTTTGGTAGCCAGACCATGTGATGTAGGGTTACCCTCTGTTGTTTTATGTATACACACACAGATAGGAAGTAAAATAAATAGAAAGATTTAAGTATACGTTACAAAGAGCTGAAGTTGTTTATTTGGGCCCTGGAAGAAGAGTGGTTCTTGACTGAAAGCTCAGTGCTGAGAAGGCAGAAGTATGAGATGGCGCTCTCCACACGAAAGCAGTCAGCTATCAACATGTGGCACAAGAGAGAGACATCAGCTAGGAAAATGCTTCAGGTGATGTTTGTTAGGACTGGATAGTTTTATGACCTATAATTATATCTGCAGCTATACACACAGAGTTAGACATAAAAATAGCCCTTTGTCCTTTCAACGAAAGAACCTTTTTCAAACATTAACTTAGCAATCTCTTCCACAACTCCCCAGGGTGGTAGGGAGGCAGCTGACTTTTATTATTTCAATTTTTATAGACACAGTAGAAATGGGTGAAGCCATGCAGTGCTTTTCCAAGGTTAGTTATGTGGTCGCCCTGAAGATAAAGGGGTGAGGAACAGAAATGAACCTTCATGAATTGTTTCTCACGCCAAAAAACCCTAAATTCTGAGGGTAGAGGCTATGTCTAAATGTCCAGCCTTTAACATGGGCAGCATGATGGAGAATAAACCCCACTGCCCTTGAGCTGATTCCAAGTCTTTGTGACCCTCCACATGTCCAAGGCTGTCCATCTTTATGAGTAGCCTGCCCCACCTCCTCCCACAGAAGGGCTGATTAGTCCTACATGTAACGTATTATGCTACCAGGGCTCCTTGGACATAGAGCAGATAAGTTATAGAAAACGGCTCATCTATGAGCCCTACTGTTGTGAACCGCCTAGGTGGAACTGACTCATAGCTGACTTTCCAGCAGGTTTTCAGAAGCAGTTAACTGCACCTGAGGAGACTACTCATCTTTCTCCAAGGGAACTGCATGCTTTAAAAAGGGCTGGCAGCACAATTCCTTACCACTAAGTTACCAGGGCTCCTTCTGGGTCTACAGATGACATAAACACAAAACTTTATATTTGTAAGCATTTGAGTGGGAAACATAGAGGTAGATGGAATGTGCTCACAAGAGGAACATGAAGGAGAATAACAGAGCGAGTAGTTACACCAGGAGTCTCTGGATGATGCAAAGAATTAGCAAACTCAGCTGCTGACGAAAAGTTCAGTGGTTCAAGTTCACCCAAAGGTTTCTCAGAACAAAGGGCTAAGGTTTTGTGTGTTGTGTTTTTTGTTTGTTTGTTTTTTAACAAAGGAGGATACTGAAAAATCACTGGAGCCATTCTACTCTGATATTACGTGGGGTTACCATGAGTAGGAATAAGCCTACGGGTAACTGTCCTGGGTTTAACATAGCCCCCTTGACCCTTCTTACTTATGTGGCCTTTCGTGAGGCATTTTTAGGTTAACTCTCCATTTCCTCACGTGTGGAATGGAGACAACTCTTTGTGGTATAGCACCTCTGTGAGGACTGTAGACTGTATCCAAGTAGTGTTAACAAGAAGGCTGGCCCCTGCGAGCACACAGCAGAGGGCATCATCAACATTCTCACACAACCTCCAGGGTCTTTGGTGGTCCTTAAGAGAAAACACTTTGGTTCCCAAGAAGAAGTAATACTTCGCCAATTCTGTCCCACATTTGTGTTCTAAAATAGACAAAGACAAAGGCAGGCGTGATGCCCATTAAAAATTTAACTATATATCATATTCATTTATTATCAATCCACAGGATAATCTGATTGCTACATGAGCTCATAAAAGCTTTTCACCTTTACAAAATTAAAAAAAAATGTGCCACAAGGATGTAGTAACAACTGCTGATAAACAAGAAAAGGAATCTTAAAATTATAAATTTGCTGTAGAAAAGATAAAAAACAATTATATCTTCTTTAGAATTTTACCTTGAATAAAATATTCCCCTGTATAAAAAATAAAAAAGCTTGCTCTGGTTAGAATTAGAGTATTTTTCGTCTTCAAATCTGGGAATTTGCATAATATTTCCATGATGGTTTTCCTTTGTACCGCGTGGCATTCAAGCATAGCAGATTAGAAAGATTTGTTTGTTGTTTTTTTAAAGCAGTCTTAAAATGGGATATCTATGGAAGGGTTCATTTTCTTCTCCTCCTCTTCAAGCATGTCGGGCATGGCCTTTGAGCAGAGGAGAAATAGGGAAAGAACCTGAAGGGATAGGAGGGGGTGGGGAAAGAAAGTAGGGAAGGGGGATTCTGTGCTGTGAAAAAGAGCAAGATCGTAAGAAGGCCTATTCGTAAGTGCTTTAAGATAAGGTGCAGAAGCAGACTGCAACGTTGCTAGTTCTGCCCTATATACATATTCACAAGAATAAAAAATTCCGGCTAGTTCACATTTTCTCGTCCATTCTGAGGCATCCACTCCACCACGGTGACCTTGGCTGCCCCGTTTCGGATGTTGGTCCTATGGCGTCCTTGAACTTGAGGGAGCAGGCCTGGGAGATCCAGCAGACTCTAGAGAGACGTGTTTACCAATAGGCTGGAGTCCTGAGTTTAAAAAGAAGCTCCAGTACTGGAGGTGGACACAGCAATCAATGTTCTATTGTCAAGGCTTTTTCCCTTAGATTTGTCTAAAACAGGTGTCAGAGAGAAAAATAAAATACAAACAAACAACAAAACAAAGCCAAGAAATCCCCAAAACCACCAAGGAGGGTCAAAGGCTTAACAGCTCTTGACCCGGGCCTGGGTGATATCTGATGTCTTCTTGATGACGCTGGCCCGCGTCTCCCGGTCTGGCCGACTGGTGCTGGCGGCTGCAGTCACAGAGGGAGTGAGGGGGAGGTCTGCGAATGTGGGCCAGGAGCTGTTGTAAGGCACTGGACAGCTCTCCTCTTTGATGGTGACCTGAAGATCAGGCTTGTTGGAAGTGACAAAGGTTGCCATGGGGGGCAGCAGGTAGGTGCTTCTCGTCCCCATGTTGCTGAGGTACTGTTTGCCTTCAATGTTCTTCTTCCTCCAATGGGGCCTCACCTTTCAAAGAAAATAAAACACCTTTTTTTCCTTTTTCTTCTTTTGAATACTTCTGTGTTCTTTTTAAAAACCCACCACCATCCCCACAAAAGGTGCAAAAAAAGCATAACAGCTCTACAGCCCTCAATGAAATCCATACCAGGTAGCCACTCCCCAAACAATTATTTCTCTTTCTTTTTGATCAATTCCTACTTGCTGTCTCTCAGAAATACTATTTGATGAAGGGAGGAAAACAGGTGGTAACTTAGACTAGTCCCCCTTAGCACTGCACAAAGTCTGGCAGAGAGGTAACAGTGTGGGAAGACTGGATTGTCAAGGCTGCCTGATCCCTCACTGATGCCCAATTTAAACTTGAAAAGGAAGCTTGAGTAAGTACAGTTATGTACCCCTGGACTGCTTTTAAAAGGTACAGCTTAGAGCTCTAGAAGGCCCTACAAGCAGCTGGCCTCAATGGGGCTGGTTCAGAGAAGATACTGGAATTCTTTAAGAAACAAAATTCAGAATGTATAGGGACATCTATCCTTTGGTTTTCCAGAATTCCTGCACATTCTCTCTCTCTCACTCACACACACAGGCACAGACAGTCTGCGGGAATGTTTTTCATCACCTCTACAGTCATTTCCTGCTATTGTGTGAAGTGGGGAAACAAGAAACAGACTAACTCAGAATCAAGATTAGCACACACCCCGCCTCTGGGCACAGATCACAGGAGGGGATCCAGGTATCTGAGGAGGTTGTTTTAGCTCTTCCTGAGGTTTACTTCCGGTAATGGCTTCTGGCCTCTCCAGGACCTTCTATTTCTGCTTGTGGATTAGGATATTTGCAGTGGTAACAAATCGACCAGTCTCATCTACAAGTCCCTATTCCGCCTTCATAGGCTCCTTCTAATGATAACATTCCATTTCCTTCCCTTCAGTACTCCCAAAGTTTAATTTTATAATTTAAAATCCAAAAGTAAAGCTCATAATTCATATCGGAAAAACTTAGTTATCAGCAAGGAAATCCATGTGCCCCGCTGGGAGAGCTTCCCCCAGTGTCTCGGAAGCCACACGGGCTGTACTTACTTACCTCGTTGCTCTCTTCGTCGCTCGGCACACTATTGGTAGTTTCGCTTTCTGTTCACCGAGAGAGAGAGAAAAATACAGGGTCATCAAAAATGAAAGAGATAACTAATCTCTCTCCTGTTTGTAATGTCAAACATAAAAACTTCCATGTGTGCAAACTAGAATAAATTTTAATTCTGTAGAGTTGGTCCTGTGGAGAAAGCTGATTTTCAAGTTCCATTATGGTTAGGGAGCTGTAGTGGTGTTGACCACAAGGAGTTGAGCTGCTAACTCAAAGGCTGTGACTCCGGTGATTCGAATCCCCGAGAGGCTCATGAGAGAAAAATAGGCAATCTCCTCCCATGTGACTTACTGTCTCTGAAAACCCAGTGGAGAGTCAGCTATGAGTCAGGTCTAACTTGGTGGCAACTGAGTTTGAGAATCTGACCTCTGACTGTTGTTAGTTGCTACTGAATGAATTTTAACACACGATGACCCCATGTGTGCATTGGAGAACTGCTCCAGAGGGTTTTCAAGGGCTGGGTTCACACCAAAAATCTTCTGGCTAACAGCTGAGCACTTCATCATTAATGCCTCTGCAACACTCTGTTGGAGGTGAGGGTGGCTTGGTCTTTGAGGTCAGGCCAAGTTTGTACCACTTTCCACTATGGGGCACTGGACCCCACAGTACCAATCTGCTCTCTGCTCCCCATTCCTCATGTTCAATACGCTTATGCCCTTTCCCTCACTGCTGCTCCATCCACCATGATACATGCTGTCCTTCTCTGCCAGCTCATGTCAATTATTCAAGCTCCAACTCAAAATAAACACTATCCAAAAGTCTTCCTAGATCTTGCCATTAGTCTCCAATCCCTCTTTTTGTCCCATAGCCTTCAGTACTTATTCCTCAGGTTTATAGAGCTGTATATTCTACCTGAAATGTACAATACCTGTCATAGATTGACTTGCCTCCACATCTTCATGGATACAACCAAACAGGTGTAAAAGATTAAGGGTCAAATGCATCACAGCCCTATCTGATCAAAGGGAAGTTTTCCTAGGGTGTTGTCTGTAAGATAAAGGGAGAGGAAAGCAAGCAGAGAAGACCAAGAAAGGACCTGGGTCTCTTTCAAGAGGAACTTCCCTGACGAGAGGAAGATCAAGACACGTGGGGATCTCCAAGGACCTCTTGACTATAGATTATGAAAGAAAAAAAGAAAGAAGGATATTCTTCCAAAACTGACAAAGACAAAGAGAGCCAGAGTTTCCATAGCACTGGCACCTTGAATTTGAACTTCTGGCCTCCTAAGCTGTAAGAGAATCAGTAAGTTTGTTAAAACCATCTACTGTGTCGTCTGTGTCACAGCGACACTGGATAACTAAGCCAATGGTGGACAGATTCTCAAGCGGCCTCCTCAGCTTCTGCACATTTCCCTGGAGTCAAGGCAACAAAAATGGAGATGCTTGATTAACTATGAGCTCACTGGGAGTGAACCAGGTTCTTGTTCAAAGTCAACTTTATTTCAACTTTTATTCAAATGGTTCTGTTTTAAAACTCGTGTGTGTGTGTGTGTGTGTGTGTGTGTGTATTTACCAAAATTCCCACTATGCTTTGCAGATTATTAACAGACTAAACAACTTTTAGAGGATGGCAACTCTCACCATGCCCAACGAACAGAATGCCAGGGCCAACATGCATTCCCAGGAAACAAAAGGGGAGGATGCAAAAACCATTTAAGAAGCATTAGTCAAGATGCAAACTACAATGTTCTCAGGAAGAATATGCTCATGACTAAACAAAGCATTTCAGGCAAGGATGTAAATCATTGGCGCAGATGTGAACAGTTTGCTCCTGGAAGCACGAATGGCTGACTACAGTTTTACTAACAAGAATAACCAAATTGGATAGCTTATTCTCCCCTAACTAGAAGGGTAACCTTTACATTCCAAAGGCCTTCAAATTGAAACCAAGCTTAGATCTTATCTACAATCAGTCTTCACTTTGGTTTTTTTGTACCCAAACACAACAAAACAAAAATCACCACAGAAAACAGAACATTGCATTGAGAGTATTCCAATTTTGTTTCCTGATTTGGAGTCAGGGGAAGTCCTCAGTAAAATTCTTTAAGTAGAGCCCTGGCTTATGGTCACTGGCACCTTCCCCTTGATTGAGACCTGTGGCTTGCTTCTAACTAACAGAATATGGCAAAGGTAACTGAGTGAACATGATCACATGTGCAAGATTAGGTTACCTGTGATTGGAACCTGTTTTGTGAGGTGGTTTCTTTCCTTACTGGCTTTGAGAGAGTGGCCACAATGGGAAGCCTGATAGGAAAATAAGCTAAAGGCACCTTTCTGTTGACAGTCAACAGAAACAGAGACACTGGGTTCCACTGCCTGCAAGAAACTGAATCCTGAGCTTGGAGGTGGGCACTTCCCTACGTGAGCCTGAGATGACAGGGGTTCTCGGACTTCAGTTTAGAGAGACCCTGTAGCTGAGGGCCCAGCTAAGCTATGCTTGGCCTCCTGATAAAGAAAACCCAAGAGAAAGCTGCTTTAAGCCACCAAGTGAGGTGATACCATTTTAGAACAGTTATTTAGTTACCATCATCTGTGAGGCACTGAACCAAGTTACTCGCTCTTGTCCTTCTAAACTGAATTAATAATACATCATCATCTATGAGTTGGTCCCGACTCAATGGCATAGAACATCACCACCACAAATAAAAGGATTATTCATTCCTAGCTGTGCTGTCTGGGTTTAGAAGACACCGTTGAACCAGGGACATTATAGCCAATGTTAGACAAATATGTCCTGGAAGCAGAGTACCAGAGGAGTGCCTACCTGTTGTGTTTAATTGACTATGCAAAGGCATTTGACTATGTGGATCATAACAAACTGTGGCTAACTTTGAGAAGAATGGGAATCCCAAAATACCTGATAGTGCTTGTCCAAAACCTATATATGGACCAGAAGGCAGTTGTTATATACAATCTTGTTAGCTGAAAGTGAGGAGGACTTGAAACACCTGCTGCAGAAGATCAAAGAGCACAGCCCTTAATATGGGTTGCATTTCAACATCACGAAAACAGAAATCCTCATGACTGGACCAATAGGCAGCATGATAGATAGATAGATAGATAGATAGATAGATAGATAGATAGATAGATAGATAGATAGACAGATCGATATAGATGGAGAAAAGATTTAAATTACCAAAGATTTTATCTTACTTGGATCCACAATCAAAACGCTTGGTAACAGCAGTCAGGAGCTCAGAAGATTTACTATATTGAGAAAGTCTGCTGTCAGGGACCTCTCCAAAGTCCTGAAGAGCAATTATATCAGTTTAAAGACTAAGGTGTGCCTGAGTCAAGCCATGGTCTTTCCAATCACCTACTATGCATCTGAGAGCTGGATAATGAGTAAGGATCCCAGAAGAATTGGTAACTCTGAGTTGTGGTGTTGGAGAAGAGTGCTGAATACGCCATGGACTGCAAAAGAATGAACAGGTATGACTTGGAGAAAGTACAGCCAAAGTGCTCCTTAGAGAAAGATGGGAAGTTCATCTCACACACTTTGGGAATGTGGTAAGGAGGAAAGGGATATCGTGCTTGGAAAGGTGGAGGGTCATGAAAAGAGGATGACAGTCAACACGATGGACAGACACAGTGACTGTTAGTGGTAGGCTTGAATATATCAGAGATAGTGAGAATGTGGTAGGATAGGGCAAGATTTGGATCTGTTGTTCACTGGAACACGATGGAATGTACTCAACAGCACCTAACAACAACTGAGATCGCTTAGTCATAAGCATTCATTATACAGATGGAACCTGAAGAGACATTGTACGCTGGTGGGGCTATATATGGAGTGCTGTGCTCTCCATGCCTGTCAAGTTAAATCCTCTCGAGGATTCTCAGTAGGAGATCCTATTACCCCCTGATGATGCAAAAACTACATTTCAGTGCCTTCGACCACATCCCTGATAAGGGACTGGGATCCAGGCTTTCACCTTGCTGATGCCAGAGCAGGACAGATGGCTCCCAGACTAGACACTGAGCTTCCTTCCGAACACAAAGTCAGACACAGACCAGGCTCCATATAAACAAAAAGCTAACACACAAATGGACAAACTATGCCTACAGCGTCATTCCTTAAGCAAAGACAGAGTGTGGGGATGACACCAGTCTCACCCCAGAGCAATTCTGCAAGCTTCCCAACTACTCTTCTTCAGGGTTTTATAAAGGCGTGGTGATGACTGCCCATGTGTAAACAGAGGACATGATACTGATCAAGTCGCTAAAAAGACAAACCAAAATGCACAAGAAAGGTTTCCACATAAAAAGAAATAAAGAACAGCACAAAGGAACTTTCCCCATTCACACTAACCCTCACGCTGGCTCGTGTCCCAAGGAGGCAGGCATCAGGAGTGCCACTCCCAAGACAGAAAATAAGGAACAGAGATGTTGAGAAACTTGCCAAAGTTACAGACTGAGTCAGCAGAGAGGGAAGAAAACAAACTGCACTTCAGATTCCAGGGCCTCATGTGCTGAACACAGAACTCTGCTTCCAGAAGAGCTCCTGCTGCCCTGGCCTCTGACAAAGTCTCAAGATCCCCTTTCTATTTTTATGCTGTACTTTCTTTGTGCTCCAAAGCCAAGGCTTCTCTTCCCTCCATATATGGCCAGACCCCGTTCACTCCTAATTATCTTGCATAAATACCATCATCTTCTGTTTCTCTCCTCTTCAAATAAACAGATGCCACAGGCATGTGCTGGAGAAAAACAAGCAGCTAGTCAGGATTGTGGGATTCCACTCAGTCCAGGTGGCAAATGCTTGGAGCAACTGGAAGTCAGACACTGAGGAAGGCCACATACTGACCAGGCACTCGAATGGAACGCAAATTCTCTTTAAATAAGTCTTCTCAGTTCAAAAGAAATAGTTTCAGACAAGATATGCTTTGAACTCATGTTTTACGCTGGCATAAAGAAATATTAGCTAAAGTGCATAGTTTCAAAGTTAAGATTTTCTACTCTGCATTAAAAACAAAATAAAACAAAAAACCCAA